AAGCATGGAAAAATCCAGCCGATGTCCAGCCTCCAGCAAGCTCCAGGAATGCTCCCTTGCAAGTGCCACGCCAGCCCTCAGGAGAGGGCACAGAAAGCAGCTCCTGCCAATCTCAGATCTTCTGTCTCCCTAATCCCTCTTCCGGATAAATCCCCATCTCTTTTCTCCTAGGAAAATCCCTTGAGGTATTGCAGAGATAAGAACAACCTCTACAAGGAATGTTTTGGTTTGAATACCAATCCCATCTTTCCCAAAACAGTTGCTTTGCCCACACATATCCTCATTTCCAAGGCCATCTGGGAAGATTCACAACATGGAATAAACCAAGAGGAGTATCCCAGCAGGGATGCCTCCCAGCAGGGATGCCTCTCTCCTAGCTGCAAATTCCATGCTTTTTGCAAGAAACAGGCTGAAATAATTTCTACAAAAGCTGTATTAGCCCACAGAATCACTGCCATTCCCTCCTTTTTATTTCTTTTCCTTGTTTTTACCTTCCTGAGCAGCACAGGTCTCTGCTGCCACACCATCACCTTAGGAACCAACACTATCTCCACGTGTTGGCAATATGGAATTGTTTCGTGTGCGAGATAATAACACATTAATAACCAACAGAGAACATTAAAGCTAATTAATTTCAAATTAAAGTGGTGCATCTGGCACCTCCCAAACTGTCAAACCAAACTGGAGGGTTGTTTCCCTGGAAGATCTGCTTTGCTTAAAGACAAGCTATGGAATAGAGAGAGAAATTGGGGCAATGCAGAAATTTCATGGAAAAAACCTACACAATATCCAACTAGATGATCCCAAACTGTGAATCCAAGGGTGGGCAGGGCTGGGATGAAGACACCCAACCCCACAGCATCTCCGCTGCCTTTCAGTGGCTGCTGGGACAGGAGGAAATGCTTCCTCTCCTCTCCAGAAAATGCCCTGCACACCTCCACACTGACTATTTTCCTTAGTGGAAATAAATCCATTTCCTGTTCCACTCAGCTTTTTTGCTCCCCCACAGCTCCTCTTTTTCCAGCTTCAAGGATCTTTAGGCCTCTGTGCTGGTTGCTGCTCAGAGCTGAGTGGATTCACCTTCCCCACCTAGGCCCAAGTTGGATGCAGAACCAGCTATGGGGATGCTGCAGAAAGATCTGTGTAGAGATAACATCAACCAGATCCAGTGGGCTTTCCATGCTGGCTCAGGAAAAATCTAGGATCTGCTGAGTTTCACACTGCTCAGAAAATCAAAGTCAGAATCTGGGACACAAAGAGGAGCTTTGTGCGTGTGTGAAAGCTTGTGCTGGGGGCAGACAGGCAAGGAACAATCCAAGGTGCTGGAAACAACAGTGAACATGTTCCAGCCTGGCATTCCCAGTTCTCTGCTAGGAAATTAGTTCAGGGATAAACCACACAGAAAGCAGCAATCTGCCTCAGAAAGCTTCTTCCTATTTTCTTCCCTAATGACAAAAGGAGATGCTAAGCTGCACTGCCTGAACAGGTTCCCCCAACCTAATGGGAATATTTTCCAGCTTCAACTCATTGATATGGAATAAGAACAGGGATTTTAGCATACAGCTGGTTTTAAACAGAGCTAAGAACAGCAGCTAGGAAGTTTCACCTTTCCCAAGGATTGCATTTACAGCAGGAAAATCACCTCTGCAAACCGAACTGTTCCTGGAATGATTCCTGACTGTGTCTACAGGTCCCAAATCCCTTAGTTTTCCCAAATGGAGCATAGGTAACCTTATCCCTAACTTCTGAGCTTGAAAGAGAAGGTACATTCTGTACTTTTCCAGAGTCAGAGGGCAGCCACGCTCTTAAATTTCCCTTTCCTGTGGCCACTTCCACAGTCCCAAGCGACACAGGAACAAAATGATTCCTCTAGGTAATCTTTATTCCTGGACACCAGAAGAACTGAGTCACTGCCAAAGGACACTCTCAGGCTGTCATGTACAGGGCAAAAGGAACAGCAGGAAAAACCTTGGGACTGTTCCAGGTGTTTAAACTCCTGGCTGCCAGCACAAGATATTAGGGAACAGAAAAATAAATAGGGAAGTTAAGGAATACTTCAACACACTGCTCTCCTGGAAGGGGTCACCTGACAAAGGGAAGCTTCCAAGGGAAAAAGGCACATCCAAATGATCAATCCATGTGGACACAATAACTGCAGTTGCAGCATTATTTTGGGGTGACAGCACTGTCACCACCACAGAAAGATGCAACTAAGTGAGATCCTACAACACAAATTGGAATTTTAAGGCCTAACAAAGCCCCTGGCAAGAGTCACCTTGACTAGAGAGTAAGGAAAGGGCAATTTTACCCATTTTCCATGTATAGGATGGCAGAGAGCTCCGGCATGCAGCGACTCACTCAGCCTACATGTGGTGTCCCCTCGTCCCCAGGCCAGCAAAGTCCCTCCGCTGTGTGTCCAGGTCCTGCAGAGATCCTGTCGGGATCCAGCAGCATCCCAGAACTTCCCTGCAGCTTGCACTGGCAGAAATGTCACCTACTTCCTCGGGATCAACACTCCCAGAGCTGCTGCTGCCCAGATTGGCAGGGGGGGAGCCAAAAGACCTTCCCTCCCACTCCTCCGTGTCACACTCCAGCCAAATCCTTGGCTCATATTCCAAGCCAATGCCTCCAGTGTCAGATTGGTTCCTTCATCACAAACAACTGTTTAACGCCCAGGAAAACCATGGCCACATGTCCACACACGTGTACTGAGGGAGTTTGTGGAACAGCTCCAGCAGGGATGGGATTTAGGAGCACTTTTCCAGGTACAAATACACCTCTTCCTGCAAGGACTGAACTGAACACAAAGCTGATCTCCTTTGGCCTAACACAGTCAGTTCTGGCTTTCTGCACTCACTTTCTGGGCTGAGACACACAGAGATGAAACCAAGTGCCTGCCCAGCAGGACTGGGGCACAACAGCTTCAGCTGTCTGCCAGGATTACTGGGAAGAACAGGGATGGAAAAAGACTGAGGGAGGTGGAGCTCACATAAACAATGCAGATAAAACAACTGGAATCAAGCATGGAACTTGCCCCCACACAGTGCTGGAGAACCCAGTGCTGGAGAATTCCTGAGTGCTTAGTTGGCGGGACAAGACATCTGGGGCAGCCTTGAGGGACCTGGTCCTGAACGGGCCAGGATTAGGAATGGATGTACCACTGCAAGACCAGGATCAGGAAAGGAGGTGCCACAGCCAAACCCAAGTCCTGGATCCCCGTTAAATTGTCAGGAAGCAACACTTAACAGTACCACAACATCAGGAAAACACCTTTAGCCTACTCCAGCACCAGAACCAGCGAACTAAGAGCAACATAAACCACAGATAATGGCCAGGAGCTTCTTTACTCCTCCCTCTCAGGCACACCCCATATCCTACCCCTCAGCCCTCCCATACCCCATTCCTCAGCCTCCCATGTCCCATTCATCAGTCTCCTCCATCCCATCCCATCCCTCAGCCCTGACACATCCCACCCCTCAGTCCCCCCATATTCCATTCCTCAGCTCTCCTATATTCCAGGGGCTCCTCCAATATCCCTCCAATCCTTTAGCCCACCCCCATGTCCCATTCCTCGGCTCTCCCATATTCCAGGGTCTCCTCCATATCCCATCCCTTAGCCCCCCGTGTCCCATTCATCAGCTCTCTCCCCACCCCATCCCAT